TTCTTGCATGTTTTATTTATTTGGGATATTCTTAGTATGCTCTGTGGTCGCAGTTTAATCTGATCTTCCACATCAGAAAAGGATTATTCCTGTTTTATTGCAAGAGATTTTATTTTGTCATTCTTGAGTTGCTGGGATTGGGATTATTATTCACCATTTTACCTTGGTGATTTAATTTACATCTTCCGCATTTGCGTATCTGAGCCCAACAGATTATTCGAGCGGCAGATTTGCAGCCCTGCACCTGGAACTAGTGTATGATTCTTTTTTTTTTTTTTTTTGTTCCCCTTCTTTTCTGAGCTTTATCTATCTATTTATTTATTTTTTCAGTTTATGTGTTGATTGTGCGTGTTGTTAGCACTATTGTTGTTTATGTCTTGTGATTTAGATTCTAAATGGGTCCAATTTGTTGTAGATAATCTAATGTTTGTTTGGATCGATTCGTTTGATTGAAAATGGTGGGAGGGATTCTCTTGGGTGTTTGAATTTGTGCTCGAAATGCTTGATTTGGAGTTGAGACTAATGTAAGGAATTTTTGCAGTTTTCGGGAGTTAGATCAATCTATTACAGTTTCTACCTTATATATTCTGACAAGAAGTGTTTATAGTTGGCATGTTATCTCGGGCACGAAGAAGGAGATGAACTTGGTGGGGTTCTTTAGTTTTTAGCAGCCTCGTTGTTAATCGAGATTTTGAATATTAGCAATGTGCATCCGAATATTGCTGTGTAAACATTTGGGAAAACCAAGGAAAGGCCACACTTCTATGTCTTTGTGGGTATTTTATGTGGAAGTAAAGAATATTCATTATTCATTAGCTTACTAGAAAAAAAAAGTATTGCCGGTGAGGGCATGAGCTAGAAATTCTAAATTCGATAATTCAGTTTGGTTTAAAATGGGTTATCAATAAAGCAGCCACTTGAAGTTCAGTCAGACCCAAAATAATGCTGTTCTAGAGCATGTTCTCTATTTTGGTACATATTTAATACTTGAAGTATGCTTCTTGCCATGGTTCATAGTTTTCCTTTTTCACCCTTTTATTTGGAGTAATCATTGGATGCTAGTGCAGAGAATTTGTTCAATCATTCCATCAGTATTCAGTATTCTAACAGTGCAATCTATCATTAATTTCTCCCAGTTCCACTGTGCTAGACGATTTTACAAGAACATAGTCCCAAACCAAACGATTTTTGATGTTGAGTGCCCCGACATTCTTTTCCGTAAGTTCAGTGAGGATGGGCAGTACCTTATAACCTTCAGCCGGAATCATCAGGATCTCATTGTTTACCGACCAACTTGGCTTTCCTTTTCATGCAGTGAAAAAAAATGCGAATATAATCATGACCTCCCTCCTAAAGCCATTAAATTTGAGAGTTATTTCTTCAAATTGTATGCTCTTAATCTTGCTTCTACTGGTGAGCTCATATGCAAGGATTTCTTCCTTTATGCCGAAAAAAATAAGTTTGGATTGTTTGCAACTTCGACTGGCAAATCCTGGATGCGCCAGCTGTTGGGGGTGCGATTCCAGGAGTCCCGTCAATCGAGAAAATAACTTTCCACCTCGTGAGGTCCGTTTTGTATTTGTTCTTGGACTTTTGAGGTTTGTATATGTAAGGTTAGATTTGTTTGGCTGATTGTAGTCTTATTCTGAACGAAAATAGATTGGAGGATGGAGTTGTACTCGACCACAGGGTTTTCTGCAATGATTATATCAGTTTGGCGCATTCAATGGGTGCTTACTTGTACGATGACTTGGTCGCTATAGTTTCTTTACGTTATCAAAAAATACACATTCTCCAAATAAGAGAATCGGGTAACCTTGTTGATGTGCGGTCCATTGGGGAATACTGCAGTGAAGATGACGAGCTTTTCTTGAATTCTAGTGCTCAGGCAAGTGGTACTGCTTCAAGCTCTTAATATTATTGTTTTTTTCGCCTTAAGTTATTGTGGTATTTTGTTTAAGTTTTTCTAATTCACAATATTATGAAGTTGATTTAAGAAGCTAAAATATCTGTTTTATGAAATTGTTCCGTTAGTTAATGAAGTAGTATATTGTTGGTGGATTTTGTTTTAAATTTCAGTATTGACCGCAATTTAATTACTAATTACAGTGCACGGCAATCGCAGTCAGGATTAGGACAGATATTGTTGAGGATGGTTTTCATAATCATCAGCAGCCTATTTCAGAAGCTCCCTTCTTGGGTGGTTTAAAGCAGTGATTGCTTTCCTTCATATTTCGTGGGATGTGGAATGAAGAGAAGGATCCAGCACTCGTAAGTCAATGTCGTTGTTGTTAGTTTCAATAAAAATTGTAGAATTGATCGACTATTATTATTTTTATTTATTTATTTATTTATTTTGTCTTGTTTCTTAACCATGATTACCCTGAAAATTGTCTTCTTTGTGTGTGTGGTGGGGGGTTTCAGTAGTAAATTAAAACTGTTGGGTGGTTTTGGTAGCTGCTTTCAATTTATTTGGTCTTTAAGATTTGCCGTTGTCTAATTTCATCTGTCCATGGTTGGGTGTTTTATATGTCAGCAAAGCTCACCTGTTTTGCTTTAGTTCCCAGCATTTGAGATTTTGAAAAGATATAGCTAACTTTTATTTTTTCAATATATATATATATATATTATAATTTCTCGGTATATATATTATAACGGCAGTCTATAATCAAGATCAAATCTGTTTCAACTTTTAAGTATTCATGTTCATTGTGTTTTGCTCGTCGACCCATATTTTTGTTTGGAAAGACTATTCTCTGACCCATTCCATAGGCATGGCTCAACGGTATCTGTGTTAGTATGTTTTCTAGACTTCACTTTGCAAATGTCTTTAATATGTCGATTCTCGTGCTATTTGGGCTGTTAATAGCTCAGTGAACAGTTCAAAAATGTCCATCTCAAAATTCAAATATATTATAAATTCCTTATGTTTTCTGAAATCCCCGTTTCTTCTTTCCCTTTCTTCCTTACAGAGAATGCAATGCCTGAAGAAAAAGTTTTATTTCCATTTCCAGGATTCTGCTGATTTGGGTATATGGAAGGTCGCAATCTAGCTTACATATAATTTCGTTCAGATTTGTCATTTTTCACCCCATTTTGACTTTTTCCTATTCTATAGAATATTTTTACGTTACGTTGAACAGGTGCAATTCTTGGACCGCCATCACCTATTGATCAAGTTCGGCAGTATTGACGGTGGAGTGAGTACTTTTATCTTGTTTATTAATGAATTTTTCGACCTTTTTTGGAGTATCTTTCTCATTGAATATAAGGAATTGTTTTACTCAGATATTTGAAATTGGCATTTTAAATAGTTGTGTGCCATCACTCGTTTCATGTGTTTCTTCTCCTGTGCTGAAGCGCACCAAAAAGAGGGTTAGCCCAAATGAGGTTCCATCCCAAAACCAATTGGTGGAAGGAGGAGTAGTCTATTAGACTTATAAGGTGGGTCTATTTTCTATGTGTGAACGATGTGGGACAACCCACAAGTGATATTCTAACATATACCATATGGAGACAACGCAAATTGTTTCGTTTTATCAGGTGTTTGTAGTCATTATTCATTGTTTTCTCTCTGATTTCAGTAATCAAGTACTTACCATTATTAATACCATTATCACGTGTATTGGGGTCTGCTTTTTACTCATTTTCTTTATAATTTTCTTTTGTGTTATTATTTTCTTGTAGAGTTCGGCTGAGGAGCTTTATGCGTTGCTTGAGCTGTTCTGTGACCATTTCCATACATCTTCAAAGAGTTTGTTTTACATGAAGTTTTTATCGACTCATTCGACAAACATCCATGCCCTCGAGCAGTTAAGAAGCAATAAAAACAAGACTATCAGCTTCATGCAGGTATCTTCTTATTTTTCATGGAAATTGTACTATATCGTTATTTTGCCACTTGGTTTAAGCCCCATTATGTAAACTTTTAACACTAGGGGGAATTAATAGTTTCGAAATATTATTCAACCTTTTTTTATTTACTAGTAAAGTGCACCTGCGATGCACATTGTGACGAATATTTTTGGTCGATAAAATAAATTAATTAATTTATTTCGTCAGTTTTGTTTTTTTTT